ATTATTTTTCTACTTGTAATTCTTTGATTCTTTAGTATTGAGTTTCCAGTGTTCTTTATATATTGTAAATAGTAGTCCTTCATTTTTGAAACATGTGGTTTTCAAATATTTTCTTCCTTTTATAATTTATATTTTCATACTATTCACGTAGTATTTTATGAAGCAAAAGTTTTAAAGTTGGAATTTTCCACTTTGTGTGTCATCCATTTGGTTTCAAGATTCAACTCTGTATTGTCCCACATCCTGGAGAGTCTCATTTTTCCTATAAGATTTATCTTTATAATTTACAGCTATGTCTATGATCTACTTTGAGGTAATATTCATTTATTTTATGAAATATAGGCAGTTTTATTGTTCTCTGGTCTACAAATACGGCAATGAATGCCTGTGTTCAGCTCACATCTTCTCTTGTATCCAGCCCATGGGATGGTCTCAACCCACTTTTATGGTAGGTATTCTTACCTCAATCAATCTAATCTAGATAACCCGCAGAGTCTTGGAGTCTTGTTGAGAGATTTGCTTCCATGGTGATTCTAAGTCCCACCAGTTGATAATCAAGACTAAAAATCCTACAGTTCTTCCTCCATTGGAATGGTTTTCTGCACGTTTATTAAATACCAGTCCAGGAGCTGTGGAAATGGCTCACTGGTAAGTGCTAGCTGCTGTGTAAACATGAAGACTGAGATTGGATCCTAATTAACCACTTAGAACTCAGTATTGTGAGTTTCTGTAACCTCAATGCTAGGGTGGGTGGGGTGAGACAGGCAGATCACAGAGCCTCATTGGCTAGCTTGTCTTAATGATTAAGACCTAGGTTCACAGAGAAACCTTGATCCCCCTCACCCCCCACATCTCATAAGATAGGAACAATACAGAAAGACATTCAGTGTTGATTTCTGGTCTCCACATGCACGTTCAGTGGTGAGTGCACATGCACACATATGCATAAGACCCCTCCCCTGCCACCAAATAAATAAAATTAGTTCCATCTATGTGTATGGGCTGTTTCTGGATTCTGTATTACTTTTCATTGATCTATGTGTCTATTTATCTTTTACAATCACACTATTTGATTACATTAGCTATCTGTCAGCCGTATTCCCGGATAGAGATTCTTCACAGTTTATCTTTGTCAACATTGTTTGGGCTATTCTAGGATTTGTGCTTTTTCTAAAGAATTTTAGATTGCTCTTGTCTATATTTGATTCAAAACGCTTGTGAGATTTTAGTAGTAAATTTTATAAACATACAGATTAATTTAGAGAGACTTGACATCTTAAATATGTTGAGTGTTCTAATCCATGATCATAGTATAGATCTCCATCTGTTAATGCCTTTGGGTTCCTTCTTCAATATTTTACAATTTAAAGCAGAATCTATACATGCTTTTTAAAAGATACATCTGAGTATTTCATTTTACTATTATTATCAATCATTCTGTTGTTTTTTTAAATTTTGTTCCTATACATTCATTTTTGGTATGTAGCTATGTGGTTTTTGTGTGTTGGTTCTTATATAACCTTGATGAATGCATATATTAGTTCAAACAGCTCTCATAGATTCTTTGGGATTTTACCCCAGTCATCATGTCATCTATAAAGAAAGACTGATGCTTCGATATCTTCCTTTCTAATCTATGTGCCCCCTATTAATATTCTTGTTTTATTTCAGAGTCCAGTACTCCCATTACCATATGATGAATAATTGGCATAAAAATATTTATTTTGTCCTATATCCTAGAGGTTAAGCATTCAATCTTTTAGCATCAAGCTGTAGGCATTTTGTAGATTATCTTTATTAAATTTATATAATTATCCCCTATTGGCTCCAGTGGGTATTGGAATTTATCAAATATTTTTCAAGAAAAACAATGCGCCAATTACTATAATCACATGAGTTTACTTCTTTAGTTTGTTGCCATGTTGAATTATCCTGATTGAGTTTTAATATATTGAGCTAGCTTTATTTATGTACCTCAAAGCTCCTTGGTCATATTTTTATATATTTCTAAATTAAAATTTTTTTATGTTTTGAGAAATTTTGATTCTATGTGCATTAAGTGATATTATCAGATAGTTCTCTGGTTTTTATATTGTTTAGTCTGCTTCTGGTGTCCATGTGACACTGGTCATATAAAAATAAGTGACAAAGTGTTTCTTCCCCCTGTATTTTCTGGTAGAGTGTGTGTGATATTGAAGTTAATTTCCCTTTAAATGCTCAGTAGAATTGCCTGTGGGCTCCAATACTACCCTGCAAAAACCAACACTGTAAGACAGACATGAAAAAGAAACAGTCACTTCCTAAAATAATAGTAATCAAGTAGGACATCATCCTGACCGCCTCTTTCTTCTTTGGTCATCAGGTGGTTTAAGTCCCTACCAACAGACGAGTCTCAAAAGCTACTAGGGCAGTATACCACACACTAAGTGGCGTAAAGAACCTCAGTTCACCACTTCGTGTCAGCAATCAAGGTGCCTGGTGTGGACTGGCTGCTTCTCTGTGCTCTGAGGGAGGGTCTGCTTCAGGCTTAAGTTATAGTTAGCTGTTTTCTCCTGTGTCTTCTCACACTCTCTTCTCCTTAGACATATGTTCCTGTATTTAAGTTCCTTTCTTTAAGGGAGCAAGTGATTTTGAATTTTAAAGGAATTAATGGCTCTGTATTCACTGCATTATTCCCATAAAGACTGTGCCTCCAAATAATGTCCTCTTTTAAGAGCTAGGACTCCAACACATGGGGTGTGTATTATTGTTTCTTTGCTGTTCTTGTTTTACTTTTTGGATGGGGAACAGATTTCAACTCATCATACTCTCTAAAGTTAAGCAATGATGAGCAAGAACAGAAAGACCAGCATTTTGTTCCTGAGTTGATGCTTTGCCCTTGAAATTGACAGCCTCACAATGCTACCCGAACAAGAAAGAGAAGCACCCACCCCCATGCCTGTTTTCTAGCCGTCTGGATCCCATCCATTCTGAATCCTTAAGATGGACTCTGGATATGTTATCAAGCTCCACGAACTTGGGCTTATGAGAGGAAGAGTTTTATCAGGACTATAACAGTCAGGAAAAAACAGAGACACACACAGTTGAGGAATTGTTCCCAGCTGATGGCAAGCTGGAACTCCCAGCTCCTTCACAAAGGACTCCAGTGACCAAGGGACTACTTGAGGAGAGACCAACTGTGACCCATAAAAAGAGCTGAGATAACAGGCACCAAGAAGAAGAGCACTGCCACTCAGTAAAGGCAAAAGAAGGAAATCACCACGCCTTCATCCACACCGTGTTCCCATCTCCTGAGCTAATGGCAGAGTGGGGCAGAGCAGAGTGACAGTGGCTGTGCCCAGCTCTACTCTGTGCTCCAGGGACCATGGAGCTAAGTCTTCATTTAGATCAAGAAGACAGAAGTTTTATGACTATAAGTCAATCTTTCTCATCAAAGAGTCCTGAACAAATGAAGGCGAGAAGTTATGTATGTGTTGAGGGAACAACTGCCTAGCAGAAAACAGCAGTGTGATAGATCCAACCAGAGGAAAGTGAGAGGGGGGAAAAGTTACCCTATGTCAGGCTTGGTAAGAGTAAGAGGCTCACAACGTTAAAAACTGTACATGTGCCACCCACTAATTCCTATGACAGAAACTTTCCCCTGTCATCTGGTTATACAACTATATAATTTAAATTATTAAGGTAACTACAGACATTAGGACTGAGATGTAATTCAAACCATTCCTCGGGTTATTTGCTTTCTAACTGAGATATCAATTTTAGCTGAACACCAACGTATTCTTAACATGAAAACACAAGCTTACACATGCTTCTGTGAACAATTATAATTGTCATTATAATAAATAAGTAGAAATGGAAAGTGATTTTTCACTCTTACAACATGTATCTTATATCACAGTGTGATAAGCACGGATTAGGGGAATTAGTTTAATGAAGTTAAACTTATTTTGCTAGGCAAACACATGGTTGCAGTTAGCTTTAAATAGAAAACTTATTCATCTGCAGCACATTCATTTCCAGCTGTAGTCAATGTAGATCAGGGTATAGCATACAAAATCAATACACCAACAACTGACATTCCCGCATTGCCTCATTTTATGTGAAAGCCATGTGATATGAACAAACACTTGCCAGATGGGTTTGAGAGCTCTTCTACCTCATTTGGGGGGAATCTTTTATGGCCAAAGAGGAAACCCACCTCGAGTGGGAACCTTCGCTAGAGATAGCAATAAAACACAGTTCTCATTAGTTCTGTCAGATGAAGCTAGCACTAAGCAGTACTGTGGAGGAGGAAAGGCTGTCCAAGGATAAGGGGAGGGATTTGAAAAGCGATCCAAACATGAGGGCAGAGGTAGGGATGAAAACTCTCAAGTTCTACTTCTGCCTGCTCCTGGAAAAGGGGTGAGAGTCGAGAACTCAGGAGAGGCTGGCTGGTTGGATGAGGCCTGTTTCAGCTGTCAGCTCCACCACAGCACTGTAGGCAGCCCTCCAAAAGAGGAAGAAAGCCTAGTGTGTTAGATTAATGCTTGATGGCGGAATTGCGGGCTGTTATAAATAAAGCTGTAGCCATTTAGATGCCATCAAGTAGGGTATCACCCAATAAAAAGTAGTTTTTCTTTAAAGTCTAATTTTGAAGAGGGATGAAATAATGGTTATCACTGATCAATTTTAAACACAGTTTCAAAAGCTCACCCAATATGGGGAAACAGTAAGTCCATGGTCCAATATACCCCCGCCCCGTGTTTGTGTGTGTGTGTGTGTGTGTGTGTGTGTGTGTGTGTGTGTGTGTGTGTGTGTGTGTGTGTGTGTGTGTGTGTGTGTGTGTGTGTGTGTGTAAATTCTCTGAGTGAAAAAAGATCTTCCTAGATTTCACCTCTAGAGAAACAGCCTACATTGTGGTAGTAGTTTTAAGATGGCCAATACCTTGCTCTAAAACCTTCATTTTCTGTAACAGAACCATTTTTCCAAAAAGGCAGTGGTGCACAGAGCATGCTTCCTACCTGTGCTGGTGTTTGCTCCAGGGCAAGGGCAAGAGCTGGCAAGCAGCGGCCCTGAGCCCTGGGCTGGGGGCGGAGGCTGCCCATCACTCAGCTGCTTGACCCGCTTTCGATGGGATTTGCCATCATAATGGACCTGGGCCTGGGCTGCAGAGTTTAGCTGGATGTTGCACACATCACAAAAGGAGAAGAGAATCTTCTTCTTCTCTTTATTGAACTGGTCCCCAGGCCTGTCGTTCTTTAACCCCTTTTCTTCAAAGCCCCGTAGGAAGGTTGCCATATTCATACTTCCATCTTCACAATGGTTGTCAGGGCTTAAGGAGCACTTCATAACTGAAAGAGAAAAGAAATGTAAGGGCCTATAAACTTATATATGTTCTCTTATCTTCCAGTGCAGAAATAATTCATTTTTAATGGTTGAGTTCAGCAGATACGGTCTTCATCAAATCTGAAGTATTTTATATCTCCCTCTGCCCTTCTTCTATCATCTACCTCCCTATTACCTCTTACTCCCTCTGCCCTTTGAACTGCCTACCCACGAGATCTTAGCTAGCAGTGGTCTTCTAGAGGGAACCCATTCTCACACCAAAGTAAGGACAGGCTGGCCATGTGCACCCAGAGACCTATATGGTTTTCCTTTACGACATGTATCACATTGTAAATTCCATGTCCAGGAAAGTATTTGTTTTATGTCTGTTTCCTCCACTCAGTATAATCTCTATGAGAACAGCAACCCTCATCTCTGGGTATGTCTTGGCTTAGAATTGAAACTTTAACATAGTAGGTATATAAATATCTGTTCAAAACAGGAAGCAATGTTTTAAAACCAAAACTATTCCAAAGAATCTTTCAAGACAAAAATGAACATAGTGTAAACACATACACACACACACACACACACACACACACACACACACACAGCAGAACTAATCTAATCAGAACAAAGATTAAAACACAGTATAAAAACAACTTACATTGAATTGTGTTCTAAAAGTCCCTTTATGAGTCAGCTGAATGGAACTTGCACATATTTCCTTGTAGACGTAGTGAAACAAACGGTCTGTAAATTTCCAGACTAGCCCATAAATATCAATTTAATCTTTGATAAGCTTGAAATGTAGAGCATCTGAAATACAAAAAAAATAGAAATACAATATTATAGCAAACAGGTGCATATGTTAAAAAAGTAAAACAGACTCTAACATAATTATATTTTTAAATGCCAGTCTTTTCTTTCAATTATTAGATAACAGAATCAAGAAGAATAGATACCCCTCGTAAGGAATTTAAAAAGGAAATTTTCAGTGCCTCGAGACCCTCAGTTAGTGAAAGTTACCTTGACTTTTTATTTATTTATTGTTCAGTTCTACTTTAAAATAAGTTAACTGTTCATTTCAGTTGATCTCAGAATTCCTGGCATTTTCACACTTTCCATCTAAGTGTGTCAGTGTTTTGTTTCTTGGGTTGGGTGAGGAGAAAGCCTCTCTTCAAGAAGACAGGGGTATACAGGCACAGAGAGAAACACTTCAGTCCCACACTTAAGAGACTAAGGAAGGAGAATTTCAAGTTCAAAGCCAGGATGGGCTTTATACCAAACCTCATCTAAAAAAACAAAAATGAAAACAAGGACAGACAACTGGCCAAGAAGGACAAAAGCACTCATATAAAAGAATAATCAGGACTCATAATCACTTGTGATGGATTTTTGTGAATGGGATAAACTCAGAGGATTAAAATATATTATTGGCTTTGAGGGATTGTTTCATCTAAGTTGGCTTTGGGTTCTCTGGAAACAAGGGAGAACTGAAACACAAGTTCACAAGCTGAATAATGAAGACTCAAATAGATGTGATCATAAAGACAGATGTTGATTCTGCATGCAGTATGCCAAATCTACAGTTTACCCATATACCCAGCTGTGAGGACCATTCACATCTTCTTACTTGATGCATGAAACACACTCAGCCCATAATAGTATCTTATCTGGTGCCACCATTTTAAAGGACTCTATAAAACTTTACCTATTACTTTCAGCTTAATCAATTTTCTCTACACAAATAGGCTGGTGAGATGACTCAGCAAGTAAAGATTCTTGATGCCAAGCCTGACAACCTGGGTTCAATTCCCAGGACCTACATATTGGAAAGAGAACTGACTCCCACCACTACACATGAAATGTTACATGCCTCCTCTATAACTTAAAAAGTGGGGAAAAATCTATATAAATTCTGCATAAATAATAAGTAGTAAGCAATTCCCATAGCTATTCTGGAGATAAAAGAATCCTTACTAAAACGTGGTTTGAATTGCACATATGTTAAGTATTTCTGTCTTTAGACTTTAAATCCAAAACCTCGTCACACTTCACAACGTTCAAACATTACCATAACCTCTCTTCAAATATTCAAATGTAAGAATTGGTGGATAAACAGTTTGCAATGAGCTCATCAATGTTGCAGCCTGGTGAGAACACTAACCAATAGCAAAGAAGAAAAGCTGGGCCTGTGAAGCTCACAAAGCTAGACCAGTCACCTGACCTTACTGCATCACTGGATCTCACTCAAGCAACTGTGTGACCCTTGAGTCCCCTAAAGGCTATTGACACTATCTCAAAATGTGACCTCTCTGGTCTCTGGGCTTGCAAGTGTTGTAAATGAACATGGTGTCTCACAGAAGCAAGGTGTCTGTCATATTACTCCCCCTTTAAATCTGATGGTGAAACAATGATCTTTTTTGTATTATAAAATGTAAACCAGCTGCCTCTACTTTGGGGGCTACTGTCATTTGTCCCAGAAAGAAGGTATATTTTACATTGATTTACTCATGCATACACTAAATAGGAAATCTGGAACCTGGAAAGTTGAGGCCTTCTTCAGAGCTACTCACCCAAGGGATCCTTCTAGCCCCAGAACCACATCTATGGGCCACTCTGGCAAGGGTGTGATGCCTTAAGCAATGTTTGCCAACTCCTAGGTATCAGTCTAGGATCTGATTTCATTTACCACAATTCCTTGGCTTCTCAGGAAAAACAAAGAAGGTTATCACTATATTTCCACTCACAACCAGTCTATTTACTTATAGAGGTCTTGGGAAAAGGACCTGGAGGTGGCAAATATCAGAGTCTCCGAATACACATTGGGTCCAAAATGGTATAATGCCCAGGCCTACATCATGTGTGGAGTGATGGTGTTTACAATGTCAACTTTCTGCGTAAGGGTAAAGTTGACAGTCCAGTCTAAGTGGAAGAAGAGAGAGAAAAATCTCACTCTTAACTTTTTTAAAATCAGACTATCTTAGATGGCATGTTTTATATGAATGGGATAGAAAATCCTTCAGGGCTGCTGATTTTTGAGAGCAGTAAGCACCAAGCTGCTTTAGGTGAACCAGGAGGTTTCTCTGGGTACAGGACAAGGAGAAGCAAGTAGACTAAGTATTCTATGCTCTTCTTGTGTTATTTTGTGAGATGGCCTACACTTTAGCCTCCATGAGAGAATAGCATATCCTGATATACATTAAGGAATGAGAAGGAAGGGCTGTGAGGTGCTGCCTTTGGGAAAATGAACTAAAGGACCCAAACTGGATGATCAGTATGTATCAGAATGAGTGATTTTAAATGATCAAGAGGTCACAGACTGGGTAAACTTTCCAAAGGTAAAATCTTATCGTTAGGACCAGTCCCATGTGCATAGCTAATCAGTGGTTTCTATAACTTGGTATGCGCTGGAGGCTGCTTCAGAAGTAAATGCTGCATTGTGTGATACAGCATGGCATTGTCCCACCTTTTGAGAAGCTTCTGGGCATATTCCCCCATTGCTGCATCCTAGTCAGTTGTCACCTATCATCCTCTAGATGCTCCCCTTGCCAGGGTCTCTTCCCTACCTTTGCATTCCAAAATCCTTTGCTCGCAAATCCACAATAGCACACAGCCCTTTTGCAATCACCTTAAATATTAATTTAGGCTTACTATATCTGTATAATTTTGCAACTTCACTCAGTATATTTTGATTATTGGACAGGTAGGAGGATGGACACCAGGAAACAATAGCATAAGGTGGGTGGGGAATGCCAGTCTGACAGAGATGGCAAAATAGAAAGGACAAGATTGGAATAAGCTCTTTGGGACTGATTTTTCATCCCTTACTAGATTGCAAGGCCCCCTGAAGATTAAAGTATTTTGTTATAAGTCACATCAGCTTCCAAATGGGCTGCTCTCCTGCCCATGGACCTCCTCCACTCTCTCAGTGCCTCCCACACTATCCCTAATCCTTCCTGGCCTGCTCATCACCATGTTTCAGCTCCCAACTCAGGCAGAGACCCCCTGCTGGACTGGAGGACACCCTGGCTGCCAGAACTCCAGGCCAGAAGAGCAAAGAGGAAATAGAAACCAAGAAACAAAAACACTTACCCAACAAAGACAAACTCAGAAATCAGAGCCTAGACCTATAACCATCACAAATCCAGAAAACTAGACACCATTCTAAGAACACATCAACAACAGCCAGGGCAATATGTCCCCACCTGAACCCAGCATCCCACTTACAACAAGCACTGAAAATTCCAGCACAGTTGAAGCATAAGAAAAAGACCTTAAAAACAACCTTATGAAGATGATAAAGGTCTTTAAAGAAGAAATAGATAAATCACTTGAAAAAAATCAAGAAAAAGACAAACAAAAAATGGAGGAAATGAATAAATCCCTTAAAGAAATCCAAGAAAAAAAAAACCCAGACAGTTGAAGGAAATAAATAAAACTGTTCAGGACCAGAAAATGGAAATAGAAGCAATAAAGAAAACACAAACTGAAGGAATCCTGGAAACGGAAAACCTAGGTAGGCGAACAGGAACTACCAACACAGCAACACCAAGAGAATACAAAGATGGAAAGGAGAATCTCAGGCACTGAAGATATTATAGAAGAAATGGATACATCAGTCAAAGAAAACATCCAGGAAATCTGGAACAACATGAAAAGAGCAAACCTAAGAATAAATAGGGATAGAGGAAGGAGAAAAATCTCAGATCAAAAGTCCAGGAAATATTTTCTTTTTTGAATAATTTATTTTTAATCTTAGGTGCAATGATGTTTTTTTGCCTGCATATATGTCTGTGTGAGGATGCCAGATATTCTGGAACTGGAGTTACAGACAGCTATGAGCTGCCATATGGGTGCTGGGAACTCGGGTCCTCTGGAAGAGAAGCCAGTGCTCTCTTAACCATTGAGCCATCTCTGCAGCTCCCCCAGGAGATATTTTCAACAAGATCATAGAAGAAAATTTACCTATCCTAAAGAAGGAGATACCTATTAAGGTTCAAAAAGAATACGGAAACCCAAATAGACTGGCATTGAAAAAAGTTCCCTCAACAAATAATGATCAAAACACTAAAATTACAGAATAAAGAAATAATATTAAAAGCTGGGAAGGAAAAAAAACAAGTAAATATATACGTGCAGGCCTATTATTAGAATTACACACAATTTCTCAATGGAGATTCTAAAAGCCAGAAGGGCTTGGACAGATGTGCTGTAAACTCTAGATCACAGATGTCAGCCCAAACTACTATACCCAGCAAAACTAACAATCACAATAGATGAAAAAACAAGATATTCTATTATAAAGTCAAATTCAAACAGCATCTATCTACATACAAATCCAGTCCTTCGGAAGATATTAGGAATAAAACTCCAACCCAATGAAGTTAACTACACCCATGAAAACACAGTAAATAATCTTATACAACCATAACCAAAAGAAGGGAAGCACATAAATACATATTCTCTCTCTCTCTCTCTCTCTCACACACACACACACACACACCACCACCACCACCACCACCACCACCACCACCACCACCACCACAAAACAACAAAATCTCAATAAAAAGATACAGACTGGACCCATCCTTTTGCTACATTCAAGAAACACACCTCAACATCAAAAACATATATTACATCAGATAAAAGGGTTAGAAAAAGATTTCGAAACAAAGAGACTTAAGAAGCAAGCTGGTGTAGCCATTCTAATATCTAACAAATAGACTTCGGAACAAATT